CTCAATTAGATGATCAAAATATGGTCAAGGTTGCCATGTGTTTCCTGACATTTTAGAGTTTTAGCAAAATTTAGGAAATATGTACTTATCTTCAACCCTCTCTTTTAGTGTTTTCGGTATATACAGAAGCTTACACGAGCACATTACTTCAAATGTCCAGATGCCTCTGAAAATATCATTTCTCTGAATAGAAAATATAACCACACTGACCATTTTCAGTAGGCAATCTTATCAAGGCTTAGATCATTTGTAAAAGTAGATGTGATTCATTCAAGTCGAAACTAGGAAAATTAATGAATCTCCTTTGCCCTTTAGTTAGCATAATTTCATGTATTTCATTTTTTCATTTCTGCCACTTAAATATGTAGGAATATGATCACAATCAACAAACCAGAGCAAAGATACTTCATTGGAGATCTTTCTTTCTTTCTTTCTTTTTTAAACACATTATTGTTTTTTTGTAATTTTTAACCATTTATTTGGATTTTGTTGTCATCTGTCCTGTATTTAGAGTTCATAGTTTCACTACTACTTTTATGTTTTTATTAAGTTGAAGGTGAATCTGTATACTCCCCTGTGAATTAAGATGACTGCTATAATAAATTAATGATAGTTTTAAGATTAAAATTAATGATAATTTTGAAATTAAGATTAATTATTAAAATTAATTATAGTTTTGAAGTTGCTTTTATTCTCAATTAGATGATCAAAATATGGTCAAGGTTGCCATGTGTTTCCTGACATTTTAGAGTTTAAGCAAAATTTAGGAAATATGTACTTATCTTCAACCCTCTCTTTTAGTGTTTTCGGTATATACAGAAGCTTACACGAGCACATTACTCCAAATGTCCAGATGCCTCTGAAAATATCATTTCTCTGAATAGAAAATATAACCACACTGACCATTTTCAGTAGGCAATCTTATCAAGGCTTATATCATTTGTAAAAGTAGATGTGATTCATTCAAGTCGAAACTAGGAAAATTAATGAATCTCCTTTGCCCTTTATTTAGCATAATTTCATCAGGGTGATTCTTTATTGTATTTCCTTACTTGGCTTTTTTTCCAGATATCCATGATCAGAACAGTAAGAAGCCCGTCATGGTCTATATTCATGGTGGATCTTACATGGAAGGCACAGGCAATATGATAGATGGGAGTATTTTGGCAAGCTATGGAAATGTCATCGTGATAACCATTAACTACCGTCTGGGAATATTAGGTAAGTGATTTTCTCATGCAGATGGCTGAGCAAGAGGCAATGGGGAAAATCCGCTTTTTATTTTAACAAGTCTCATGGATTTTAATGGTGTTACTACAATTTCTGGATGATTCTACTTTACTGTGCTTGCCTTATGTCATCGGATATGTGTTTTCCTTTCGGCACTTTCATGTGACACCATCATTTTTATTTATTTTTAGCTTGAAATGTTTAGTCACGTAATTTCATGTCATTGAATCCAAAGCCCTCTTCAAACCAAAGCAGACTTCAGTGTCATCAAGCCGAAATGAAATTTCATTGAACGCATGTTTCTTCCTTTGAGCTAAATGAATATTCTATTCACCCACATAGACCTGCGTCATTAACACGTATTTGGTAGTGTAATAGTTGATAATGGCCATAGATATTAGCTTTCTTTCCCTGCTGTTTAGTTGCATTATAATCAGTATATTGCATGTAGGAAAATGTCTTATCCAGTTTCCTTACTGATTATTTGTGCATGCCAGACCTTGAAGAATAGCTGTGTGATTTCATTGCCATTGCAAAGAAACTTAATGCTCCTTTGAATTTATTCCATTTTATGATTTACGATGAAAGGACATGGGCTAAGTATGTGGAAATTTAAGTTCAGTTCCCCGTTGTTTAGATGTTTCTTCATTTTCCTCAAAGTGTGGTTTGGAAAATTATACATTTTTGGGGTGAGATCTCAAGATTTGCTTTTGTATGTGGTCTCGCCTGGTGTTGCATAGTTCATGAATAATATTCCTAGACCTCTGCAAAGTCATTTGTTTTCAAGGCAAAAATGCATTAGAATGGTCAGATAATGAAGTTTTTAAAAAGGTAGCCGTGAGAGTGAGATGTGAGCATTGCAGTGTGTATATAAAACAAAATGGACTGATGGAGCTCTGTGCAACAAGTAATATGCCTGGGAATGTTTTCTCCAAATAGGTAAATAGTACCAAGACATTTTATTTTCAATTGTATGCTTTAATTTCATTTTGAGTGCTGTTTATTCTTATGTGCAAACATTAACCTATCAGAGACTCCTAGAGGTGGTGAAGTATAAAAATTACATTTCTAACTTAGAAATGCAAATCACCCACAGGTGTTTGTAAAATTGTGCTTTTGGAAGCATTGATAAAGCACTCAGAATTCCAGGTTGGTTTTTGCATTAAAGAAAGCAAACAAAATCCTTAGTGTCAACAGTCATTATTTTGTGATTTTCTTTCTTTTTAAAAAAAATATTTTTGTAGGTTTCTATAAGCCAGATCTCTGTGGAATAATTTTATTTACTTTTTGCATAGCAATGATTGCATGCTTCTTGAGATATTTTTCAAAGGCTTCTGGCTAGTTGCTTTGGCTGCTAGTGTTTGAAACAGGAAATTGTATTTCTTGATGTTTTACAAAAGATGCATTCTAAGAAAGAGGTGGAACAGGGAGAGTGCATGTATGACCACTGCACCTGGCCTTTTGTACTATGTCCACACCGAGGAAGGGCTGTGGACACCTGGGCATGGAGCAGGTTTTGCTTTGATGGAATCACAAATTGTTCTGCCTCGTACGTGATGGGTCAATGTTACTTGTAAGGCTGGATTTCCAATAAAGAAATTATTTCCTTTTTTCCTCTAAAGCCGAATTGTATGAAGCAGCTCGAAATTGTGATTTCTTATCACAGTTTTGACCCTTTGGCCAATGCATGCCAATCTTGCAAAGTAATGTGAGAACTATATGCATCTATTTTTTAAATTTTTTTTAAGAAAACAGAAAAAAAGGAGTCACTGAAAAATTTGAAGGCTAGCCTTTTGCGACTAAGAATTTTAAAAAATCATGATAAGATAACAGGGAGCTGTACGAGGGGTGTCAAGGAAATAGAAAGAGCGATTTAGTATCTCTGTGCCAGTGTATTTACATTGCACCAATGAGCTACTGTGGATAAGCCAAGCGCACGACAAACCTCCCTTTATCTGAAAAAGCGAAGTGTGCCAACATTGCTGATTATACACAGCGACGGAGACTTTAAAATATGACTTCGTTTATCTTAATCGTGGGCTTTGCATTTATCACTATTCTTTTGAAAACCATTGGGCAGCGTTTACTGTTTGCACTCAGGAAACTGCTATGATGTTTCTCGAAAAATATTTTTGAACCTTTGACATCCAGACATTTAAAAAGAGGATCACATAAAACAGCAGTGAGTGCTTTTAACATGAAACGATATGTTTTTAGCAAAAAGTCGAAATACGGTTTCAGTTTTTTTCCTCCAATAAAAGTAATACATGCAGGGATATTATTTTCCTACCTGAGATGTCAAGACTAAAACAATATGAAAATTATTATATTTTAATGAAGTAACGAATGTTGTTTTCTTACCCCCCCCCCAATATATTGTGCTAAAAAACAGCAGTAGGACGTTGACTTTGGAAAGAGTATAGATTTTTAGAATGAGACAGATGTTAACATCTTTCTTCTACCTCTGTATTTGTGCAGTAATATTCAGAAAGTTGGTTAACTTTTTCCGAATCTCTTTCCTTAGGTATAGAAAGCATTCTCTCCTGTTTATGGTTATTATACATTAAAAAGGTTCTGTTTCAAACCACCGCATTGAACCCCATACGTATATAATAAATACAATTATTTGTCAATTAAAAACAAATTTTAAAAAATTCCAAAAAATGTTTATTGGGTTCAGTAGGTGAAGGTTCATAGCCCAAGAGCAGCAACATAATCACCTTAAAATTTCTGTGTTTGTTAAGATCATTGGACATTGTATCAATACTATTGATAATGCACAGTAATAGTTGCAACTGGCCCAATATGCAATGGCTAATATCTATCAAATATCATTGTCCAAAGTGAGCCATCTTAATTTTAAAAACTAATGATAAGATGCTTCTAGACATTAAAAAAATAAGAGTGGCAGTTTGCTTGCTTTTTGAAGCACGAAGTTTTTTCTTTCATCAGAACTGTGCAAGACAACCTGGTAACCACTGACCATATAATTTAATATTGTCCAATCCAACATGTGCTTGAGAGTTGTTAGTGTGCTGGGAATAGACTGGTATTGTCCAATGCAAATTGAAACTCATCACCATAGGTATAAAGTGATCATTTATACCTACATAAGGTCTAATAATTGAACTGGTGTTCAGCTTATTTATTTTTTGAAGGGGCATATACTATTTTTGAAGGGGCATATACTGAATTGTATACAATACTTTTTAATTGAAGCATATCTATCGTACATATTTATGGGGTACAGAGTTATATTTTGAGACATGTAGACTATGAGTGATGAGTTTCAATTTGCATT